CATCCAACTGTATATGACCAATTTACAAGAAAGAACTCTGATTCTGTCTTAGGTACGCTGCACAAGCTAGGAGGAGACAAAGCCATTATGGTGAACAGTTCCCAGGAGGAGCCTGGTACAGAAATCCAGGGTTTTCCCCATGTGTTAGTCTGTTCAAGGTGCTATAACAAAATACCACAGACTGGGTGGCTTCAACCAAAAGAAACTCATTCCTCAGAGTTCAGGAGGCTGAGTCCTAGATCAGGGAGCCAGCATGGTGGAACGCTTCCTGGCTGTAAACACTGGTCTTTCTTTCTGTGTCCTGACCTGGCAGAGAGAAAGCGAATCTCCCTAGTGCTCTTTTTAGATATATTTTATTGATTTTTTACAGAGAGGAGGGGAGAGAGAGAGTTAGAAACATTGATGAGAGAGAAATATCGATCAGCTGCCTCCTGCACATCTCCCACCGGGGATGTGCCTGCAACCCAGATACATGCCCTTGACCGGAATCGAACCTGGGACCTTTCAGTACACAGGCCGACGCTCTATCCACTGAGCCAAACCGGTTTCAGCAAGTGCTCTTACTTTTTAACCCTTTTGGGTCCAACGTCCAGGCTGCCTCGACAGACCAGGTGCTAGGAGCAGGTCCAATGTGGAGCTGAGGTCGACACCACAAACCGCTGCGATTAACATGCATCTCTCAACAGAACAAGGAGACAGAAAGTCAGCAAGGATACTGAAAACCTAGACAACACGACGTGCTAACTTGACTTAATGGGCACTTTGAAACCATTCCACCCAAGGACAGAATATACATTCTCTTCAAATGCACAAAGCACGTTGACCGACGCAGACCATATGGTAGGCTTTAAAATTTAAAAGGGTTCAAGTCGTACAAAATGTTTTAGTGACCAGAACAGATTAAATTAGCAAACAATAACAAACATAACTGGAAAATCCCCAAATATTTGGACCTAAATAGCCCAATTTTTAGCAATCCATTAGTCAAGAGATACCAGAAAGGGAAAACAGAAAGTATTTGAATGAAAAACCACGGAATATCAAAAGGTTTAACACTGTACTTAAAAGGAAATATAGCACTAATTGCTAAGGTATAAAACTCTCACATCAGCGACTTCAATTTCCACCCTAACACTTTAGAAAATGAACAAAAACACCCGAGTTAGCATAAAAATGGAAACACAATGACTTAAGTCAACTCTGATTTTCCATAGAAATAGAATAACAATTAGGGGTTACATCTTGTTACCAACTGCTCTTCAGAGGAATGACTGTCCACAGTGTTTTTAATCACCTAAAACTGTCAGTGGTGTCTCTCTGTACCAAATAGTGAAACATGTTCTAATATGCATGTCACAAAGGGCTTGCTTGTATGTTTTTTGAGATCTTTAGGAGGAAAATGCTACTGAATAGAAGAGAAGCTGTGGGAGTTTGTCAAAACAGCTAGAAGGGCCACTAACCCCAGGGTGGAGGAGGTGGGATGAAAGCAGAGGAGGCCCCCTCTGCTTGAAATCAAGTGTGCGGAGTGTGTCTGGTGGTCTCCTCTTGGGCTGTATGAATGTCCTTGGCAACGCAGCATCAATAGAAACGCACTTGGGCAGAATTGCTGGGTTTGCATGTAAAAAGGTAGTAGGTAGGGCACTCTCTCAAGCAAAGGCACATTCCTGAAGCTATTGACCTAAGTGAGCAGACCCTCAGGGATTGTGGAGTTAGCATTTGGGAGTGAACAGTCAAGAGCAGTCCCATGGCCGCTCTGACTCGCAGGAACTGTGCTGACGGACCTCAGGGTGGCGAGGCTGGTGTACAGAAATGGGTGATGGGTAAGTGAGCCAGCCTAGCAGCTGCCAGCTCCCACCTCTCCGTGGAGCTCTGTTGTTCTGTTTGCCTCCTTATGTGCATTTTATGGAGAAATTAGAGACTGAATTTTGGAAGCCAGAATGGGATGAAAGCAGGCACAGTGTTGCCTACTTGCCATAAAGTTGCCGAGAGCCTGCATTTGCAAGTTCAGCACTGCTTGGCCGCTGAAAACCAGCACTCAGAGCCGGAAGGCTTGGAGTTGGTTTCCCATTTCTTAGAACTGGCCCTCGGTGGCCCGGGGCCATTTCCATTACATCTCTCAACCTCAGTTTCTAGATCCATAAAACCTACTCTAAGTACAAATGAGGATCAAGTGAGATAATGTATGTGAAATTACTTTGTAAATGTTATTGTGCTATACAGATGACACGCCATAAATGTATGTCCCTGAACACCACCGAGGGCTAGAAGTGGAATATTGCCTTACCGTGGTTTCCGTATTAAGCACCGAGTGAGAAAACATTGGGGGGAGCGGGGAGGGGAGAGGGACCAAATAAGTCAGATTGATTCTGCTTATATTTAGAGAACCTTTTAGGATCTTTTAAATCATTAGGACCCAAAGCTCTTACTTAAGTAAAAAATTCAATTTAGAGGAAAATAATCTACTTATTGCACTTGTTTGTTTTGTCCTTCCAGACATGTTGGCTCAGTCCTCAAACCCAGAGGTCCCAAGTGCTCTGTTAAAGCCCAAGTCACTGGTCACTTTCCTAAGGAGTCTTTCAAAACTGGCTCACACACCTACTGGCAGTGCTTTAACCCTTTTTGGCCCAACATCGAGGCTGACTCGACGGACCAGTTTCAAAAGATACCACACTATGAAATGTTTTAAAGAATAAACTCTTTGCTTGAACATACTTAATAATATAACCAATGAATTTTTGGTTTAAACTTTAAAATAAGAACATTAAAAAGTTCAACATTCAATCCCGTCAATTAATTTGGACCAGACTGTTTGAATTCCAAAAATAAAATTGGACTGCAAAGGGTTAAGATACAAATCCTGTCATGACAGCTCCACCCTCCTGTGTTCCTCTAACCCTCATTACTTCTCAAAGGCCTCATTTCCAAAGACCTGTACATTGGGGGTTTGGTTGGACTTCAACAATTACTTATTGCACATCAGTGTTCTTACATGAAAATACTGTCTATATTTATTCATATAAATATAGACAAGTTTTTTTTTCAAATAAAACAAGTAATTTCTCTCTGCTCTGAAGTTCCTCATTCTTCAGTATGTCATGTTTTTCTTTCCTTCATTAGCCGTGAGGCATGTTAACTGTGTCATCTTTATCCACTCTAGGATTCACTCTTCGTTATGATCACCCAAAAATGACTGTCAGCTGAAAGTGGTACCCTGGTTTAACAGAAAGTCCCTCCCTTATAGGGGATAGTTCTCATTCTACAGGGACCAACCCAAACTCTTCATGTGACGTTAAATCAGACTCAAAGCCCCATCCAAAACATGGACAGTTCCACTTTGTTGTATGTGACCAATGAAATAGCTACACTTCTACTTTAAAATAACTTTAAAAGTACATTGGAGCCCGGCTGGCATGGCTCATTGGGTGAGGGTCCACCTATGAACCAGAAGGTCATGGTGCAATTCACTGTCAGGGGCACATGCCTGGGTTGTGAGCTCGATCCTCACTGTGGGGCGTGCAGGAGGCAGCCGATCCCTGATTCTCTTTCATCACTGATGTTTCACTCTCTCTCTCCCTCTCCCTTCCTCTCTGAAGTAAAAAATATATTTAAAAAAATAAAACATATAAAGGAA